ATTTCATAGTCTTCATGCACCCAGCAGCAAGGGGCCAAGCACTGTGCCAGGCCATGGAGAGATGCTGAGAAGGAAAGAATGGTGGTGAGTGTTGGGTCTAACAGCTGGAGGAGCACCGTGACAGCCCCACCAGCCTGGGCTCTGGTGCGCTGCCCACGACACCAGACATGCAACAGCTCAGACACACGAACCAAAGCTGGTGGTGTTCTGCATGCAGCCAAGAAAGCAGCACCTGAAGCACTCTGTCCAGCTCTGTGGTCCTCAGCACAGCAAGGACATGGACCTGCTGCAACAGGATAAGAGGGAAAAGGTCCAGGGAGACTTTAAAACACCTTCCAGTACCTAAAGGGGCTATAAGAAAGATGGAGGCAAATATTTTACCAGGGGCTCTTGTGACAGGACAAGGGGTAATGGTTTTAACTAAATGAGTTGACTTTAACTAGATGAAAGGAGAGGTTTTCTTACAGTGAGGGTGGAGAAACACTGGCACAGGTTGCCCAGGGAGGAGGTAAATGCCCCATCTCTGGAAACATGCAAGGTCAGGTTGGATAGGGCTGTGAACAGCCTGATGTTTGGCCTGAACTAGATGACCTTTAAAAGGTACCTTCCAACCTAAATAATTCTATGATTTTTGGGGCCCTCAGCCTCTCACAGAGCAGCAATAACACAGGGGGTCTTTTTCTTCAGCCTCTTTCAGGTCTCCTCAGTGCAAGCTGCAATGAGTTCACAGCGAGAGCATTGGGCTGAGCTCTCCAGACTAATCACATTCCTCCCCACACGTCTTCCCCTCACCTGTAAAACAGCAGTAACAATATTTACACTTCTGCAGTTGGCTCAAGATGTGGAATGAAAATTTAATTATCATCAGTGCTATTCACCTGTGAGGAACAGCTCACAGCCTGACCACAGCAGGAACGAGTCGAGCCCGAGGAGCCCAGAGTGGAGCTGCAGGAGACAGCACAAATCTCATCCCTGTGGTAAAAAGGTGTGGCAGCTTTGAATGGGAGAGAAACAGCTTCCCCATCCCTTATAAACTTGTTTAGAGTGAATTATCACAGAATTTCCTAATGGATTTCCAGTTTGCAGGTCAGGCAAACTCCTGCCATTCAGTGCTCTGCCCACTGACTCTGCAGTGACACACATACTTGTGTTCTACAGGAAAACCATTTTTAAACAATAAATCCGCCTTTCCAAACCTCTCAACTCCCCCGGGTCCCTCTAACAACTTTTGTGGGTTTGTGCTACATTGTCTCACTCCTGAAGACCTTTTTTTCCCCAGTGTTGCGTGAAAGACCCAAGCACAGCAGGAGAAATTAATTAACAGAGCAGACAGCTATTCTGCCATCAAATGAACAAAATTAAATAGTACCAGAGACTTACACTTATAGTCACCCCTAAGTGTTTCGCATGACAACAGCAGGGGAAACAGAGTCCAGACTGTTGTTTTAATGTTGATAATATTCCAAAATCCACAGCGCTTACCAATTTCTCAGTGGAAATAAAACCTTTGACACCAGTGGGAATTCTGTCTGGGTGTGAAAGCTGGTGGCTATATTATGATCCAGCAGTAAGAGTCTGTTTTGATTGTCAGATGTTTAGCACCATTCCCTTCTACGCCTGCCCAGAGCACCTGGACTGACAAGCTGAGGACAAAACTTGAATACATCTGTGCACTCACGTGCTTTCTGCCAAAGCTCGTGCTGGTGAGGACCTGACTGTGCTCTCCACTACAGGCAGGGTTTATTTATACTTTGCAATCACTCCCAGCAGCTGGAGGGCTGCCTGATGTGTCAGCCTGTCTGCTGCAGAGCGTTGGCTTTTTGCATCTCAGCTGGTTTGTTACTGCTCAGATGCTGACCAGGAGTGGGCTGCTAATTTCTCCCACATCATGAAGATGTTAAGGAATATAGGGGGAGGGAAGGGGAGAAGGGAAGCATTATGATACAGCAACAGTAAGAGGGAAAAGAGTTAAAAAGAAGACAGGAACAAAATTCAAAGGCACACGAGTGTAAGACAGCATCACTTCAGGCATATGTCAAAATAGTGTCAGATTTTTCTCTGTTCATTAAGTCAACAGTTAAACACCCACCAGCTCTGCTTTTTACTAGCCCTGGAGTTCTGCTGCATCTGGAGAACCTCTCCATGACATCAGCAGTAGAAACAACTGTCAGCAGATAACCTCATTCGTGAGTAGGTTGTGTAACCCCTTCCACTCGTGTCACCATGAGGGCCACGAGCAGGGGTCAGGTCACAGACTCCATGTGGTGGAGACCAGCCCAAGCACAACAGAAGCTGTGGGAAAATGACATGAATTTTATCAAATTTTCCTAGTTTTATGTCACATGTAACAGCACTTAGTATTTGTCCCTAGAGTTTGATAAAAAGAAAATCATCCCCATAATACTAAATTAAAAGCATCAATTTTATATCTATCCAGCTAGTGTGGTAGAGATCACCAGCCTGTGGTGAGGAATGGTCCCAGCAAGGGAACATCTGTGCATTCTGGGAAGAATTCGGGGTCTGGGAAGAGCCCCCTGTCCAGAATTTGGAGTTCTTAACTCTCTCATTTACAGAAGATTCACAGAGAAAGAACCTGACATATGAGTGCTCTCCAACAGAACTTTGAACCTGTAACAATAGTTTATATAAAATTATTGCCCAATTATAAAATTTTGTGCTGTGGTTAAAGAAAACCCAAACAAACCTTATGCAATAACTTAAGAATAAAAGTTAGTTAGTTTCCCTTTTTGTACATAACTTTTATTATATTCATTGGAAGTTTTCCATTACAGGTAGAAGGATGAGTAAACAAGCAAACTCTTGTTTACAAAAGAGGGGCAACATTGTCCAAGGGAAGAGTGCATATTAGATTGAGACTATGGTAATTTCCTAGGACTGTATTTAGATGAAAGAAGCTGGGGTTTTCAGTGGTTTTGGCCTCTAAAGCCTTCCCAAGGGACACGTATAATCTCGCTGTGATAAGTCTCCCTTAGGTTTAGGAGCCAAGAAGACAGAATCATCTCTCTTCTGCAAGAGCCAGCATCCAGAATTTGGCAAGAAACACACTTTGCTCCCAGGCAGCATCAGCCCTGAGCTGTACCTGCTCTTTGCCATTATACCAACCCAGGCACATAAATCACATCCAGTCTGAGGGAAAAATCCCACACAGACACCTCGGCTGCCCTGACACTACCTGTTCTGCACTCCAATTTCCACACTTCTCAGCCCAAATACGGCTGCTTTATGCACTGTTTTATTACTTCAGGTAATACTGCACACTCTCTGCGAGAGGAACAAAGACTTTGGTGAAAGCAAGCTTGTTTGTCTGAGGGTTTTGGGGTTTTTCCCGTAAAAAAAAAAAAAAAAAAATTCTCCCCACTTGTAACTATGAACATTCCTCAACAGTCCTCACCGCAGTCAGCCAAAAATCACATGAGGTCTTTCTGAAAAACTAAGTTCTGTGCAATGAAGTTATTAACTGCTGGGAAAGGCAGAAAAGCTTTTTTACAGCTGTTCATTGATGCACTGAACGTCACCTTACACCCTATAGCCTTTTTGGATTCTGCAGACTTCTGGAGTAGGCTAAGAAAAAACAAAAATCTTGGCCAGAGCAGTTATACTGCTTCTTGAGACATGGTTTTTTTTGGGTTCAGGCCTCAAATTCTCAGCCAGCAATTTCTGTCCCTGGTGGAAATTAAAAAAAAAAAAAAAAAAGAAAACCCTAAAAAAAATGAAAAAAAACCAAACAAAACAAACCCAAGAACAAAAAAAAACCCCAAAACACCCCAAAACAAACAACATTACCAAAAAATAACCAAAACAAAAATCCCCAAACAAACAAGAACAAACAAAAAAACCCCCACAAACCACCAACAAAACAAAACAAAAAACCACTCACAGAACACACCAGGTTTGTCTGCTTTTTAGGAATCCAGAGAATAAATATGATTTCCTAAGGCATTTGCAAGGGCTGGGGTGAATTGACCCCAAGCCCCAGCAGCCTTCCGTGGAAGATCACAGTTATTCTGACAAAAGCCAGCAGTGCCTGGCTCCAAACCAGAGTGCTCCCAGACACACAGTGCTGAGACCTGGGAGAGGAGCAGCCTGGCCATGCCAGCTCCCACTGGCACCCTGAGAGCCACATCCCTGTGCTCCCACAGCAGGGGACAGCCTGGTCCACCTGCTGAAGTCCCCACACTGAAGCTTGAGCCTGTCCGTACAACAGCTTTAATGACTCTCAGAAACTTTTCACACAGGGACCACGGCTTGTGCTGCTCCCTTCAGTTTCAGACAGGTGCCCAAACCCCTTGGTTTAACCCACTGGCTGACATCCTGCAGTAAATGAGGCCAGAATTCATTTTCTCTGTTTAATTTATGTTTCAACATTTTTATTCTAAAGCTGTACATGGATGCTTGGATACCAGCAGGTGCATTTCATTGGTACACAAACCATACCTGTGGACCTACAGTCCTGTTCTTATCCCTGTGTGCTCCTGCAGGAGTACACCACTCCTCACACCCAGTCTGCTGCTCCGCTTCCTCTCCTCTTTCCCTTTTAAATGGCACAGACAGCCGATGAAGAGCCAGGCACTCACCTTGACCCAGAGATGAATCTCCACCAGACCTTCTCAGCAGGAACAACCAGGTTTGAAATGAGAGGAAATACTTGGCAGGTGCTCCCAGGGGACTGGCCAAAAATAACTGCACTCTCTAGTAAATGTCCATCTGAGTACTACTAACATTTCTCGTTTAAGAGTGCGTCTGAAGCATTTTATTTACACAAGGTGAGGCATTTGTTTGCAGTCGCCCGCAGACCCAGCACACAACAGGGAACGCTCAAACCCGTTTTAATCGCCTGTGTAAGGTGCCCGCGCTCCCCACGCAGACAAGGGATCTTTTAGGGTGTGATTAACTGCAATTAGGAACCTACCTCTCACCTTTGATTATAGCAGTAGTCTAGACAGCCTGTGTTGGCAGAGAACCGACAGACTTAAAATTACCTTGTACAAATATTCCCCAATGCATCGGCTATGCAAGGAAACAGACCGGAGGCTCTCTGGGAAGAGGGTTTTACCGAGTAGCACTCGACACTTGGCAGGCAGTGAGGAGCAGGTAAGGCTGTTTACAGGAGCTCTCCTCAGCCGTGACTTCCACCGGGCAGCTCGCAGCCCAGAACGCCGCAGGCTGGGCGAGCCGGGTCCCGGAGCGCTCCTTGCCGCTCAGCTGCTGGCACCGGAGAGCAAAGTCTGCTGGATGTCAGCTCTGGCGCAGGACCAGAGCCGGCAGCGTGGCCAGCCGCCAGCCCATGGCTCAGGAAAACCTACTGAAAAGCTGCTCCTTCCTTCGGCACGGGATGCAGCTGTGGCTGAGGAGCCCGGGAATAGCCTCCAGTCCTGTAGCCGCGGGCTGCTTCTGGTGCAGGCTGACGGCTGCTCGTAGCTCAGCTCCTACTACTGCTTGCCTTTTTAAAATTTTTTTAAGGAACCACTTGGATCATAATTTTAATCAAGACTTTAGAAAACAAGGCATTTAGAAAATTTGGCCAAATGTATGCCAGCTTCATTAAAGAATTTAAAAGCTCCCCCCAAATTAGCAAATTTTTTACTTAGAAAAGAATTGTTGTATTTGAAAATACTGCCATAAAAATACCTCAGACAGGAGATAGACTAAGGTCGAAACACAGTTCAGCCCCTGAAATTACTCGCCTTAAATTGTGTATTTTCATTTTCCATCTTCAATAACTGTGTGGCGAGGCTGTGCATTGCTACATGACAGCTCGCTCTGCTTTTAAAACAAGAGCACTTCAGTAGTAGCTAAATTGATGCCTTTTACGGGCCCATCACTTCCCGAGGGTAATTGATTAGCGCCTGTGAGGGGCTCTGAGATGTAACGGATTACATGTTCTGAGCCTGCTAAATTATTTGAATAGATTTAGGAAGAAGATTCAGAATTTTGTGTGATGCAGTATTACCTTTCCCAATCAGCATTTCCCCTTCCCGTATTTTTGCTCAGTTAGAAAACAAGTGTGCTAAGCCCAGGGAGCAAGAAGAGTTGAGCATGACACCTGTTAAAATATAATAGAAAGCGATTTTTCCACGGAGAGTTTCTCTGATGACTGTTTATTCCGCTATTTAAAGATTACAGCTTTAATCTAGCTCAAGAGAAGAAAACGGAAAGGTCACAGCTCCGTGGAGCTCGGAGCGATGCACCGGGCAGACGGCACTACAGCCCCAAACAACACGCTGTGTTCGAGGCTGCAGCCTCACAACACATCCTCTGTGGTGCAATTTGGAACCATTTAAACTCAGCTGCCTTAAACACAGCCCGAACCAAGAATAGCCTCGGCTCCCGGGCACAGGTCAGGCGATGCTGAGTCACCCGCTGGCCGGGGCCCAGGCTTTCCAGCTGCCTTGGGCTCGGCCTCCTTAAAGACACAACTTGTGCCTGCCGCACACAGCCCAGCTCCAGCTGGGCACGGCCAGCCAGGGATGGCACCCTTGGAAGCCGGGTTTAGCCAGATGCTCGATTCCAGTACGAAATCCCGGTTCGTACCGCCCTGTTTCCCTCCAGCTTCGGAGCGCAGCGCTGCTGCTGCCTTCCTGCTCATTCAAAGCTACATTCATACATCTCTTTGTAATTATGAATCAACTCCCAGGCATCGGTGCACTCCCCAGGCTCACACAGAACGGCAAACAATATACTGTCACGGGTTGCATCAGCTGCACGATGCTCTCTCATGCCTTCAGGCTTGCTAAAGCTGATCCAACGCTAATATAATAATAGCCTTTTTACCCGCCTCCTCCCCCAACAATTACCGGAGGCTTGGAAAGCCATTGATATGCAAATAGCACACGGAGAGGTTATTGGGAACCAGGCTGGGAAGGTACAAATGCTGTCCTGCTAGTTTCCTTTAGTTTGACACGAACGGGAGTGTAGTCCTGAATTTCTCTTTGTATAAACAGGGAGAGAGGCAATATCGTGGATGTATAGACGGGCAAGTGTAGAAGCTGAAGTGCATCTTCTCCAGCACGGCTTCTCTTATCTGGGACCCCTGTTACTCCCCTCAGCTGCTGCAGTAGCAGACACCGGCACAGCACAGAAGAGTCTGTAGCTCCGATAATACGAGCGTGCCCAACTACACAGAGTCACAGAAACGCGCACAGTGTGGGTGTGAAAGGTCTTGCCCCCACATGGCAAGGCACTGTGGAGCCTCAGTTTGCTCTGTCGCCACAGATGAAAGTCAGAAATACAGCATCCCTCTCCCTGTTACCCCACCGCATCCTTCAGCCCAGGCGCTTCTACAGGGGACAGGACCCCCTCCCTGTCCCCCAGCCCATCATGGTCTGTTCGCCTACTATTTTCTCAGGTAATGTTTCCACCAAGGACAAAAAAAGGGCTTTCTGGACCCAAGGCAGTCCTGACACTCGGCTGGAGCAGCCGTGAACAGCAGTGTGTACCAGGTGCTGTGAGGTGACATGGGACTACGATAACTCAGACACTTCTTCAGCCTCTCAGTCCCCAGTAAAGCTTCAGGAATACCTCCTAAAAATAGGCTGCATCCTCATCCCCTTTTCTGTAGCAAAACAACCTATAAATATCACAAAGAAGATGTTTGGCCTGTCATAAACAAATTCCTACCCCCGTTCAAAAGAGCCACAGAGAAGAGGATCCAGCAGCCGATGCACAAGGGGCAACTTGTTTGCTCTGGCGAGAAGGCGGCTGAAACAAATCTATCGGCAGTTTACAGCTGCCCAAGCGCGGTTATTAACGCGACAGAGCCAACACAGCTGGGGGTGATGGCTAAAGGGTCAGTGGAGGGACACACTGGACCCAGCAGAATCTTCCTGCCCAGGTGGTGAACAGCACGGCCATTGGTCGTCTCTGGGGAGGTAGGGGAGTTTTCAGCCTGGAGGTGTTCAGACGTGGCTGTGGCTGAGGTAATCTGGTGTCCATGGGTCCCGCTGCGATGGGGCCTTTGGGCTGGAGACCTCCAGAGGTCGCTTCCAGTCAACAATTCCATAGCTACGTAACCTCCACGTTAAATACCTGGCATTAAAGGGTGAAACTGCAGCAGCTCCTTCCCCTGTACCTCTGTACTTTCCCCGGAACAGGGCACAGCTGCCAGGCCGCACCACCGCCCCATTCCAGCGGGAAGGCGCGGCCGTCCCTGCCCGGGGCTGCGGGCACACGGGGCTGCGGGCACACGGGGCTCCCCGGCGCTGGGGGCCCGGCAGCAGCAGCAGCCCCAACCGCTCCCTCGTTCCCTGCGCTCCCCCCATCGGTGTTTGCTGCCTGCGCCTCCCCGCTCGGGTGAGCGATGCGGGACTGACGCCGATGTGGCGGAAGGATGCGCGCCGGGGTCGCGTTTTCGGGGAGAGGCAAAGGCTGGCGCGGGCCGGGTCCCTCCTCGCAGACACCCGCTCCGCTGAGGGGAGCGGGGCCGGGCGGGGGCGCGGCCCGGCGGGGAGCGCGGGGGCGGTGGCGCGGAGCGCCCGCCCCTCACGGCCGCGTCCCGCCCCGGCGGAGACGGGAGTGGAGCCCGCGGCAGACGCAGCCGTGCCGCGCCGCGCCATGGCGGGCCGCCGCCTCCTGGGGCTGCTGCTGGCCTTCGCCGCGCTGCTGGGCGCAGGTAGGGCGGCCCGGGCCGGGCGCGGCGGGAGGGGGCGGCCCGGGGGAGAGGGGCCGGCCCGGGGGAGAGGGGCCCGGGGGGCGCGGTGTGCCGTGCGCATGATCGCGGCGCCGGGCTCGGCCCAGGAACGGCGGTCCCCCGCCCCCGGCCGGGGTCACCCCGCGGGATGCTGCCCCCAAGGGATGCTCCCCCCGAGGGATGTTCCCCCCGAGGGATGCAGGCGTTGCGGCCGTCGCGCCGTGGAGGCTTCTCGGGCTGGATATTCCCCCCGGTAGCACGGAGCCTGCCCCGGGGGGCCTCACGGGGCCGGAGGGATGCGCCCCGAGGAGGATGGGAGCTGGGAGGATGCACCCCCGGGGGATCGGCTCGGGGAGGGGGCTGCCCCCTCCGGGCCCCACCCAGCGCAGGGCACCCCGACTCCGCAGCGGATGGCGGGCTGCCAGCCTGTGCATCAGGGCCGGGCCGCAGACCATCCTTGTCCCCCCTCCTTCTCCCGACGCCCAGCCTGGGCTGTGCCCGCCTCCGGCCCGCTGCCCCGCGGGCCATGGGGCCGGTCCCGCAGCGGGACCCTCAGGCAGGGCGGCCGGAGCCTGCGCTAGGTGACAGTGCTGGTGACAGACGCGTCTCGCAGCGCAGGGCTGCCTTCGGGTGACAGCGTTACAGCGATGCTTAAGAAGCGCGGTGCTGCAGGTATAAAGCCCTGGAGCAGCCTGGGGCTCAGTTAATCCTGGACAGAGGTAGCCATGGAGCCGCGAAATGAGTTTGGGTTTGTGGCTCTGCTCGCTGAGCTGTTGGATTAGCGGATTCTCTGTGTGACCCAAATTTGTCGGGCTGCTGGTTGTATTCTTGCTCTTTTTTTTTGGTCCCGCTGTTATTTCTGCAGATCAGAACAGTCTAACCCAGAAATCGTTCCCAGCTAAGTAGCAACTAGGAAGGAAAAAATAAAATGCTGGTTTAAGGAGGGTGGGGAGGAAGAAATTAAGATTAATGCAAAGTTTACCAGTACTCTTTGTCTCCTTAAAAAAAACCCAACAGTGCTCTTAAAAAGCTGTGTGTTTGAATTGAAAAGAAACGTTCTTCTAAAGGTTATACAGAGGAAATAGACAACAATTATGTAAAAAGCCTCCGGAAAGTTTTTCTAAACAAAATCTGCTATTAACCAGGAGGCACCCGGCAAGCACAGAATGGTTAGAAGCTATCAGCATCAAAGCAGATAGCAAACTGAAACCCTAGCAGCTCTTGCTGTTGGAACAGATTAGGTTTTCCATGAGTCAGCCTGGAATTAGTTTGTTTGCAGTTGGTACCTACCTGTTTGTGCACCTGGAATGGTAACAGTGTGGTACAGAGTTGTTTGTGCTGACCAGGTTAGCGGCTGCATTTTTAAATGATGGATATCAGTTTGACAGGCCGAGCTGAGGCGGTGCATAAAATCTTGATTTTGGGTTAAAAAATGGTTAGTACTAAAGCTCTTTGCATTTTGTATATTTCGCAGTGTGGGTAAACAAAAATGCTGTTTTGGAGCTCCTGGGCTGCAGAGTCCAGCTCTTAAATATCATTGGCTGTGTTTCTATCAAAATGAATTTCACCGAAACATTCATAAATCACTCCTGCCAGCGTGAGGCTTCACAGGTAATTGAACAACATTAAGTTTGTCTC